CTTCTTAATTTGTACCATTCCTTGAAGATCCAACGGTACAAATGGCTGGATTGCGTAATCTCATGTGACCTGCTGATCCTATACTAGTCTTTCCTGGGGAAAGTCGGAGAGCATATTCGGTCTGCGAATGAGCTCCCGACGAACAGCAACTCGAAAAATATTTAAAAAATGTTCAAAACAAAATCTGAATTTTATAGCAAACTTTTAAAAATGTTCTAACAGCTTGTAAAAATTTCATCACGGAATCACAATTGTGGAAGTCCTGGGATAAAAAAATTGTGCTCCAAAATGCATTCGAAAGTAGCATTTTCAGAGTATCAATTTTTTTTTGCCGTGACTTCTACAATTATGATTTTTTTTTGTTGACATGACTGCCACAAATATGAAATTTTGCAAGCTCTTAAAATATTTATCATAGTTTGCCGTAAAGAAGTTTCAGATTTCTTTGAATATTTTAATTTTTTTTTATTTTACTGTTCAGCCGAGCTCAAATGAGCTAGGGTGAAAAAATTTCACGTCCCTTTGTCTTGCTCTTTTTTTAGAGAAGTTTGTCTTCCCACGGCGAATCTTAAGAAGCGCTTACCTTTGGCGCTTCGTTTGTGGGCTGGCCCAAAGCAGAAGGACAACTGGTTTCTATTTTTCTTTTTTTTCATTTTAATAATTTTATTTATATTGACGAAAATGTAAATTTCATAATTAAATTAAATAAAGGCTCCTTTACTAATTTGCAAAATGTTCATGCTGAGTTAAAAATATACATGGCCAACTATTAACAATGTCCAATGCATTCAAAAAATGCTCATGCCTCTTAAAAAAATGTCAATCCATTTCGAAAATATGTTCATGAAATTTAATAAAATAATTCTACAACCTGATTTTTTGCATGCTTTTAAAACATTAGAGAAAATGTTCAACGTGCGTTTGGAAAATTCTTAACACATATTAAAAAAAGTATTCGAAAATTTTCAACGTGCATGCAAAAAATGTTAGAGATGTATATGGAAAATGTATGAAATGTACGAAACAAGTCTCATGTATACAAAAAATATACAACGTGTATTAAAAACATATTAGAAAAAATAAAATAAAATAAATAACCAATAAAGTCAAAGAAATACGGAAAAACTAAAAAACAAAAGAAAACGGTTGAAAACCAACAGTGAATACACACAAAGAAGTGATAGAGATGTATATTATTTTTAGATACAAAACATTTTTTTGAATTATGAGAACATATTTTGACATTGTGTAAACTTTATTTAAAAATTTCACGGACATTTTTATGAAATGCGTTTACATCTTTTTGGATGGTACGAAACATTTTTTGAATAAGGAAAATATTTTTTAAATTGTATAAACTTGTTTTAAAAATGTGAAAAACATTGTTCTCAAAATACGTGAACATTTCTTAAATGTCACGCACATTTGTGTTGATGCTATATCAACATTTTTTTGTGTTACACGAGCAATATGACAAGAAAAACGCTCGACCCTTGACATGACTGAGCTTCGGTCAACACTCGGTCCGAAGACTGGGCCTCTTCCTCTGCCAAGGCGATCCATGGCTCTCATTCCTTCCCATTCTGGCGCCTCCGCCGCCCGCGCAGTAGAGAGTAGAGGCAAGACCGTGACCAGCAGTAAAAATATCGATCGCTCCTCCATTATTGCACGGAGCAGAGCATGCCCATGGCCATGGGCAGCATCCAGCAGCAGTAACAACAAGGGAAGGCACCGCTCCTCCTCCATCCATTATTGCCTTGCTCTGCACACTCTGCTCTCAACTCTTGCTCAGCTTGCTGCGTGCTCCATCCAGATCCAAAATCCAAATCCAACCATGGCGCTCAAGAGGATGAGTAGATCCATCGCCTTCCTCAACCGCCATTGCTAGCTGATTGTAAACGCTCTCTGCCTTCTTCCCCTGAAATTAATGTTTTTTCTGCTCCTCTTCTTGTGTTTCCATCTCTCACCTGCTCCTCTTCATCTTCTCCCAGCAAGCTGCCAGGCGATCTGGCTGGCGTTTCCAGGTGGTCGCTCAGCACCCTACACCGGATCTTGCTGCAGCCGGCAGCGCCGGTAGGAAGATTTCACCACAGAGCATTTGGAGGCGGTTGCTCAAGAGCTGCTTCTACTTGTAGTACTCGGTAAGGCCTTGTTCGGATCCCCTAGTATATGGATGGATCCGAATTCAGTGATGTACAAATAGTATAAATAAATCTGTTTAAACGACAAATCCAAATACACATATATGTACTCCTCCCTTAAAGAAACATAAGAGTGTTTAGATCACTAAAGACAGAGGTAGTAGTTGGTATGGTATAGCTTAACAGAAACTGGATACATATCGGTTTTGTATTATATAGATGAAATGTGACAAAAGAAAACATTATGGACATCATCTGTCCATGTTTCGACCTCACAGAAAGAATTGTTGTTATTTAACATGAAAATACTTGACTCTAGTCTTCAGAAGCAGTGAACGGAATAGAAGCTGTAAACAAAGTTGTAAATGGTTCAGATAGAATGGTCACTACACCCACACCAGATTCACAACAGTTAAGTGAAAGTGTGAGACTCAAGGACCTTGGTGGTCAGGATGAGCAATTCATCCTACAGGTTTGTTCACATAAGAAAGGAACACACTTTTTGCTGTTCTTACTTTGAAAAATACAAGGAAAAAGTTGCAGCCTTCTAGGAAAGGAAAGCAATAATAGTATTCCTCCAAATTGCCTGCGTTCTAGACTGAAGCGTGTGTTTGTGTGTGTGCACCCCACACTTATCATGACAATTACATACAATACAAAGATTACCAATAATACTGTATGTAGTGTCGTTGTTCACTGATTAAAGTGAACGGAAGATCGCGGACTCTTCAGATTAAGAAGGGATCAACCATTGAACGATCTGTGCAAGCAAACAAATGAACAATGGCCAGCGCACAAGTGTAATGCTACATTTTCGTGCAGTTAATATGTGTGAATCAAGATAGTGCTAATGCCACAATCGTCATGCATACAAAGATAGTTCAATATGCTAAAATGTAGTATTATGATTTTACAATACAAGGGACCTTTGTACTGAAACACTGCCATATGCTGAAATTATGAAAAGCAGATAGAAAATATGCTTCAGGTAGACTTATATTGAACTATATTTCGGCTGATTCACAACATTCTTCTTTTGGTAAGCCCGCCAATTCTCAAACAAAAGTAGGCATACAGTCCACTGTAAGAATAGGTGTGGAAAGAAATAATCTGTACTGTTTTTGCCGGCGAGGAGGAGTATACATGTTTTGATCTCACAGAAAAAAATGACCCATAATTCATCCTGGTTTGTACAGATAAGATGAATAGACTTTTTGCCACAACTTCTGTTTTTTTACTTGGGAAAATACAAGGACAATATGAAATGATCATGCTATACCATAAAGCAGAAACCTTGCTGCAACTACTCGCAGCCTTCTAGGAAAGGGAAGCAACTGAAGTATTAGTGTATTGCTCCAAATTGCCTACACTGTAAGCTGAAGGGTGCATGAGTGTCCAATTTTTATTTATTTTCGAAAAACAGGGAGGAATGAGTGTCCAGTTGTATTATGTATCATGGAAATTATCTACAATAAAGGCATCCATGTTCATTTGATAGAAAGATTGCCAGTAGTACTATAGTAGTATCCTTTTTCATTGATTAAAGTGAAGGGAAGACCCCAGACTCGATTCAGAAGTGGTGAACAAATGAACAATGGCCAGCTCACTAGTGCAATGCTACGTTTTTGTGAAGTTAGTATTAGCGTGAATCACGATTGCGCTAATGCCACTGAAACTGCTGCATATGCTGAAATTATGAAAAGCAGGTAGAAAATAAGCTTCAGGTAGACATATACTTATTCAGCTATATTTCAGCTGGTCCACAACATTCTTCAGGTAAGCCCCCCAACTCTCAAACAAAAGTAGACATACAGTACACTGAAACAATAGGTGTGGCAATAATCAATCTATACTGTTTTTTCAATTTGAATAAAACTTCGATCCAGTAATTAGAATAAAATCCAAGCTACCAGCAACAGCATTAAATCTTTTCATATTGGTAATCCCGATTACCAGCATGATAACCTTGGAGGCACTAAGATCTCTAAAAAGTGACACCAAAGACATTTCATCAAGCTGATCTATAGAAGGACAGTAATGTGGCACTAGTGAAAACTGAAAACTGGTTTCATCTTGGCTCAAGCTTTGTGATGGTCCTTCCATTTGAGGACGCCGCTTCGGAATTATTATCACTGCGTCCACTTAATCCATCAGAGAAGGCTGGCATGGAAACAGAAGGGAGGCGAGCACTCTGGCTGCTAAGCATAACATTCACCGATGACATCGTCGGCCTATCTTCAGGCCTGTTCTGCACACACAGCAGACCGATCTGGATGCACTTCAGCACCTGGTCAACGTGAGAGGGATGGTCGCTAAGGGATGGATCGATCAACTCGATGACCTTTCCCCTGGTCCAGCACTCCCATACCTGCAACAGATTGTTCAGTTATTATGATGGGGATTTAGCAGCACGCACAAAGCTTGCTAGCATTGGTGCTTAAGTAGTACTCCCTCCGTCCTGAAATACTTGTCGGAGAAATGGATAAAATTGGATGTATCTATAACTAAAATACGTCTAGATTCATCTATTTCTCCGACAAGTATTTCCGGACGGAGGGAGTACTTACAAGGTTTACGAGATAGACATATTGCTCCGAGTTGCAGGAGCCATTGTTTCTTCTTCCTGTGACAATCTCCAAAACCAAAACACCGAAGCTGAATGCGTCCGACTTTGCTGAGTATTGACCATGCATGGCATACTCAGGCGACATGTATCCGCTGCAACAACATAACTGTTAATATATGCATGTTCTACTTCATTGCCTAACTAATGCTGACTGTCCTTACTATGTCCCAGCGATGCGCCTAGTGACATCTTCTGATTGATCCCCTCCAAATATCTTCGCTAAGCCAAAGTCAGAAATCTTAGGGTTGTAATCGAGGTCCAATAGGATATTGCTCGCTTTCAGGTCACGGTGAACTATCTTCAATTGAGATTCTTCATGGAGATACCGTAACCCCCTAGCAACCCCACTGATAATCTTGAATCTCCTTCCCCAATCTAGGTCTCTGCATTTCTCAGAATCTCCCATTCAAACAAGAAGTATCAGCATTGCAGCGAAAGTTTGGCGGCACTTTCACTACTCTCAGCTTGGCTATAGTGAAAAATTTCCTTTCGAGAAATTAATAGATTAATAATGAAGAGGCTGTACCGAAAAGAATGGTGTCAAGGCTTCTGTTGGGCATAAATTCGTACACAAGTATTTTCTCTTGTTCTTCCAAACAAACACCAATGAGGCTCACAAGATTCCTGTGGCGAAGCTTAGCGACCAGGACAAGCTCACTTTTCAGTTCCCCTATACCTTGTCTGGAACTCTGACATAGTCTTTTTACTGCTATTTGTTTACCGTCAGGTAGGACTCCCTGTGCAAGAAAAGATGCATACTCATTGGTAAATATATAAATAAAGTTGATAAAAATAGTACATATATGGCATGGTTTGTACCTTATGAACCATCCCAAAACCTCCTTTACCAAGCATATTTCCTTCGCCAAAGTCATTTGTTGCCGCTCTTAGTGTTGATAGATCGAGAAGAAGTGAATCGATGCATCGAATATCATCCAACAGATCATTGTACCTGAAGTCAGTCGGTGCAGCTCCAGCATTCTCGGATATCCGAAGAGTTCTGTCTCGGCGGCACTTCTGAAATACGAAGAAGGACATAATCGCAAGAATTATCAAAACTGCAGCAACTCCACCAACAACGGAACCACTGATCCTTGTTTTCGTCCTTTGTTGATCTGGCAGCTCGGATGCTGCAAGCCTGAGCAGGAGTGTGCCACCTCCTTCTCCGCTGTATTGCTCTTGGAGGTTAATCAGGTCCCCATGCCAAACAACGCACCCGGCGTGATTGTAAGCGTAAGCAGTGCAAGAGCAATTATCCAGACAAGCCACCTGACATTCTTGAGAGCTTTTGGCAACTGCACCCCGAGCATTATCAGGTAGCCTCACATCTGTCATGACATAGAACTTATCAGACTGAGTGTGCGCGGAGCTCGAGTTGGTCTCGCAGAACAATGGTGCATTCCTCTTGCATCCACCACTGTAATCTTGGAGGTCCCAGTCACTCTGAACCTTCTGGCTGAACCCCTTGACACAGTTGCAGTACGTGTCACTCGCATTGAGGGGGTTGGTGCAGCTGCCGTATGCTCCACAAAGCGCATACACGTCGCACCATGGCTGTGGCTGGGCCCAGACCAAAACCCACTGTTGTTTGGAATCCATCCATATCAGCTGCTTGGTCTGTCCAGTCACGTCAATGATGAACCGCGAGACTAATGAATCATCCTCCATCGGGTAGGAGAGGTAGCTTTCTGTGGCGTTGTTGATGAATTGGAAGCGGTATATGTTCTTGGCAGCCTCTGGCATCAGGGTGAAGTATTTGCCGTTCCAGGGGCCACTGGTCCAGTAGTTTACGGATTCGTTCCACCGGATGAAAAGTTGTGTTGTGCCGTTTGGGTCTAGCTCCAGAGAGAACAGCCCAGGAGATGGGTGTGCGCTGTTCTTCCAAGAAACAAGCCTGTTGCTCACACCAGTGATCTTGTTCAGTCCAAGCTTGGCCCCCGGAAGCCAGGTGTCTGTGGGATGGTCTATGCTTTGCCAATAAACAATGGATGGATTGGAAGCATCGGTGAGCTCGAGGCTACCGCTGTCCCTGATGATGGCCATGGTGGAGTTGGAGGATATGCTCACGTTGGTCGACCATAGCTGCCGGTTCCTGGCCTGATCACGGAGGACAAGGTTGCCGTCCATGGCGATTTCCAAGGAAGCAGTGGTCGGGTCAGACACCAGCATGTCGGCGGTTGCCGTCCACACAGGGGTCAACAGTGGTACAGTGCTGTACCATATGCCTATGTAGTAGTAATCGTCAGAGGTGGAAGAGATGGTCTTACTTTGCGGTTTGGGTGGGGAGTAGAAGCCCAAGGTGAACTTGCTGCCCTGTGACACAATCTTCTGTGAGCCGGACAGCGGTGTGGTGGAGTTGATGGTGTCGGCGCCTGTGCAGAGTAGGATTTGGCCGAACAGGAGGAGGAAGACGAGAAGAGCCATGGATGGGAGCTTGGAAGAATAGTCAGCCACCCAGAGCCGGAAGGATAGTGGGAGCTTGAACTTTCTGAGTAACTCTGTGGTGGTGCTTGGATATAGAGGTTTTTAGGCCGGTAGTCAACAAGACTCCACCTCAAATAGCTAGCTAGGAAACTTGACCCAGAGCGTGGTCCTCCAACTCAGTCAAGAACGACGCTCGATTTCCAGGAAGCTTACCACCAAAGAGCAGAATTCAGCAAAGTCTGCTTATGATTTCTAATTTGTCACTAGAATTCCACAGAAGCAGATGCATATGGCTTGCTTCTTTCATTATCATCAGTTGCTATCTGCTTGTCACTGCTTTTTATTTGTGGACACCAAAAAGGCTACCTCAAATCTGACGATGACTTTGGCTGGAAACCCAAATAACCTTCCATGGCAGCGAAAGCTCTACGGCAGAATGCGGACTTGGAGTAGCTTAACAAATAGCAGTCACTAGCGCCGCAAATCATGTAAGACTTGTCTGCCTAAATGTCAAACGGTGGTCAACAAGTCAAACAAGGACTAATTCTTCTTCTGTGTAGTGGCTTGCTATAATCCATTTTCTTACATTGTTGTTTCTATTATTCCAAGTAGAGCAAAGCGTCCTATTTTCCATTTTCTATGTTAAGGACATACTTCTTGTTTCGGTTTTGTTTTTGTTTTTGTTAGAAAAATATATAGAGAGGAGAGGCAGTATGAATTATACTCCCTCCGTTATTTGAACTACCAAAACGTCATATATTTAGGAATAGAGGGAGTAGTATCGATAACAAGATCAATGAAGTAGACCAGGACAGGAAACCTCAACTTCACAAGCCGGTCTCTACTAGCTCGGGTAAGCTGTACTGTACTATTAGGATGGATTCCTGATGTTGTCAAACCAAAAAAAAAAGGGAAAATGTTGTGTTGTCCGCAGATGAATGAATCTTAATCAGGCCTAAAAATACATCATGCAAGCTAAGACCACACAATTCACTGAAGAATTTAATTAATGTGCCGGGCATGGAAACCTGGATTCGTATCAGATGATGCGGCGGAGCACCACGAGGGGCCATCGAGGCGCACGACGCCGTGAAGCTTGGGCTGGAGGATGCTCCCTTTATGCTTTGGGGTGGATAACAGACACAGTGAAGAAGCTCCTTAATTTGTTTGGTGTTGCAGAAGAAAGATGAAGTCATTCTTTCCACGCTGGCCTGAATATGAACAAAGCCAACTATTGCTCCCGGATTTGTTTGTTCCATAAGTAGATATGTAGAGGCTAGAGCATGAACGGCCAACCGCCTTGCCGAGCCAGGCCGATGTGCCGTGGTGAGCCTCGCAGCCCAAGAAATTTGGTTCCCATCCAGGGCACGGTCGCATCCGGATCCGCTCTTCTGTCGCGTCTCGGCCCTCCCCCTCCACGCTGTCGGGTCCATGGAGGCCCTCCTCCACCCTCCTCCGAGGAGCCACGCGTCCCCGGAGCCGCTCCTCAGCGTCGCCCTGCCCCGCCGTGGCCTCCGTTGATGTGCTCCTCCTCTGTCCCCGACCGCCCGACGGCGGGGCTCCCGGCCGGAGGCAGTGTGGATGCTGCTGCCGCCGCTGCCGGGCGGGGTTGGGTTGGGGGAACGGCGGCGGATTGGACGGGGATCACTCGGGCCACCACCGGGATTTCGCTCCAAAAAACTTTTTCCATTGTTGTTAAAATCAACACACTTTTTTTTTTGACAGATATGATAGGATTTCGGAATTCAAAAGAGTTGCTCAGTTAATTAGGAAATCGAACGAAAACATATTGCTCAGTTCATTATAAATAACCGGACAAAAAATCTTCAACGCAACCCACACTGTAGAGTCCGAGTGGAGCTATATAAAGATCTGCACCAGGACTCGGCCACCAGCGACGAGACAGCGCAACTCCGACTCTGACGAAGAATTGTGAAGAAGAACTAGGCACGGCTAGTGCCGCAGAAGATTGCCAAACTAACCACTTGCTTCTTGTCATCTTACACCACCATGCCACGCCACTGTAGCTTCGACCGCTGCAACACACCAGCTTAGGCAATCCCCGTGGACAAGTCGGAGAAGAGCGACTACTGCAGCCATTGTCACTCTCCAACATCACCCCCCATCATCGTTGCCACAAAAGTCTTGACGCCAAACTGAGGTTGAGAGCAACATCATCACCCCCACGACACGAGGTCAAACGCGCTCGAAGCCGACAAAATCTCGGGGACCATCGCTCCCCCATCATTGTTGCCACAAAAGTCTTGACGCCAACACTGAGGTTGAGAGCAACATCATCACCCCGATCTGCTTCCATCAAGCTATGCTCTACGCAGCCCACCGATACCATCTTCTGGGGTCGCCGCCCTGACATGTCACCACCCGCACTCGAACTGCAACGCCACACGACCCAATTGCCCGCAGCCCACGCTGCTCAGGACAACCGCACACAGGCCACGAAGTTTAAATGTCTTGAAGAAACATCGCAAATTCAAATGCATATGTTAATATTTTGCCACATATACAATAATAGAAACTGTGTTTAATTTGTCGGATCTCTTTGTGTTCCTTAAGAGCATCTATAACCGGGCGCCTCAAACACACCTCAAACGTCCGGGCGGAAGTCCCGGTTACTGAACGGTCAAAACAAAAACGACTTAGACAGGCGTCTTAAACCGACCTCAAACACCACCTGCACCCCTCATAGTGAACCGAAATATGAGACCGATATTGGGAGGCATGGGCGCGATCGGGCGCGTCCGCCACGTCGGATCCGGCCCACGCTGGCCCACCTGACCCCACATATATTTGTCCTCATTCACTTGCTGGACCAAACACTAGCTACTCCACTCCACTCCTCCCCCAGACTCCCGACTGACAATCTCTGACCTTCTTCGGCATGTTGGGCAGAGGATCTGACTCCGAACACTCCGGATTCGTCGACTGGGGTGTCGTCTCATGCTGGTTGGAGGAGGCTATGTCCGTCCACATTGCCCTCCGTCTCTCCCGCGGGGACTATGCACGACCGGCGACGGGGTCTGTCTGGTGCGAATCCACATCGGCGCGAATGTAAGTGCTTGCCCATTGTCTGTCTAGCTTTCTTTGTTGTATTCCTTGTAACCCACTCATTATACTGGAAAGATGCTGTATACTACAAAGGTCTTGTTTCTTTGTTGAACATGACCCTGACCTGATTGTAGCATTCGCTGACCCAGAGCTAATTATGGCGGCCCTTCAAGGTGGTACAGTTTTAAACTCTAATAGTTCTCAAGTTTCCGAAAGTGTTGTTATGATCCCGAGCTCACATGAGCTCGAGTGAAAAGTAAAATCAAAATAAAATAAAATAAATACAAAAAAACTTAATTGTTTTTATGTGTTAAACATTGACAAATGTTTTAATAGCTTGCAAAATTTCACCCCCAGATAACATTCGTGGAAAATCAAGCAAAAAAATCGATGCTCCAAAATGTGTTTGATAATAACATTTTGGATCATCGATTTTAATTTTTTGCCACATTGTCCCTGAATGTCATTTGATGTTGAAATTTTGCAAGCTATTAAAACATTTATCAATGTTTCACACAATTTCTATTTGGGATTTTTGAATTTCCTTTCATTTTCTTTTGAATTTACTGTTCGCCCGAGCTCACATGAGCTTGAGACCATAACAGCCGTGTCCTCAAGTCCCCCATTAAAAACATTAAGCTACGCATCAAGAGCGAACGCTCGCGCGTGCCACGTGGGCAGTGGTGGTGGCGATGGCAATGTTGTGCCTTTTGTTTGCTTCATCGCTGCCCCACCACTAGTCGCTTCCTTCGTCCAGAAGAAAGAGACCTCTCCTCTCCTCTGTCTCTTCCACCGGTGGCATCCCCCAATCTCACGGCTCACGCCACATTGCCGCTCTTCCGCGCCCTTTGCTACAACCCGCACCTCGTTGCCCGTTGCTCCTCCCCACAATGCCACGACCGCGCGCCTAGCCATCGGAGCTCCACCTCCCTCGAGCCTTTCGATCTGTATCTCAGGAGCACACGGGGGAGAGGCGCCGTGCTTGTTACCGGACCAAGATCAGCACGTCCATGTCCTCTCCATCCACGACCATCAGGAGGAGGTCGAGCAGAGCATGGAGTCTCCAGCTGGAGAGGCGCTGATTCTGCCGGATCGGCCGACCACGCGGGGAAGATGGAGAGACGGCGGGTGGAGGAGTGGCTGCCGGAGAAGGTGAGAAGAAGGAGACGCGGCGTGAGGCCTCTCGACCCGCGCGCCGGGCGCTGGGGGGTCAAGATTCGAGCTCAGCACGCGGAGGCCATGGAGCCCTTCTGATTTGGATTTGGTTTGAGTACGCACGGCCAGGAGATTCCCGTCGACGGCGAGGACATCGACATGGGCGCCGGAGCCGCCAAGGTTCGTGATGCGCCGGTCGATGCCGCGACTCGCTCAGCCCCTCTCCTCCTCGTCGCCGTCTTTGTTCGGCTGAGGCGACGACGAGGGATGGGACCAACAGCGCGCCGAGTCCGCCGTCGCTCCCTCTGCTCGGGCACCTGCACCTGCTCAAGAAGCCGCTGCATCGCGCGCTGGCCGCACTCGCCGGGGCGCCGCTGCTCCTGTCGTTGCGTCTGGGCGCGCGCCGGGCCCTAGTCGTGTCCACTTACGCGGCGGACAAGGCCGCGCTAGCGGGCCGGCCGCGGATGCTCACTACAAGAAATATGTCAACTAGTGACCTTCTGTCAGTGACCCTGGAAGAATTGGTCATAGATCTATGACCATTTCAGACCAATTGGTCAAAAGCTGTTCGGGGGGCTCCAAACCCTAAACTATAACGACCATTTTGGTCAGAAAGGTCGTAATTTCCTTACATGAAATGGTTATAAAGCAGATAGCACTGGTCCGCTGCCTTATTTCTAGCTGATCATGACCGATATAGATGGTCATAACCTTGTAAATTATGGTGGGTTGCTACGACTAGGCGCCACCTCATCAGTTTTGCCTATGTGTCATGTCCA